ACTGTGGGGTCCTTGGTGCTCTCTGAGCTTGGGAGGAGGAGGAGGAGGAGCAGGGGAAGAGGAAGAGAAGGAAAATGAAGGTGAAGAAAAGGAGGAAGAGGAGGAAGAAGAGAAGAGGAGATGAAGATGAGGAGGAAGGAGCAAACGACTTCTGATGCCCAGAAACGAGCATCTCCAGGAGGTCCCCAGACCTCAACCTCAGCTGCCTTCTGCTCAGGGAAGCGCTGGGCTCTCCGGAGGGTCTCCCTCCCCCCCTCGGCCGGGCCCGGCTGACCCCCAGAAGCCCCGGGAAGACCCCTTTCCAAGCCCTGCCGGAGGGCGGTCCCAGCCCCTCTCCTAAGGCCACCAGCCCCACCGTGTGGCAAGCCCCAGGCTTCGGGAAAGGCAGAGAAGCCTTTGGAGGAGCGGGGGGGGTCTCGCAGGAGCAGGGGGGGGGTCTTCGCCCGGTGAGATCCGCCTGACTTTTGAGGGGGGGGGCTGCCTCATCCCCCCCCCGACTTCTCCCCTCGCCTTCACAGGCGTGAATTTTAAAATTATTCGACGCCGGTGGGAATACAAGAACTGCGCAGGCTGCACAGAAGGCTCTGTTTTCTTTGCACTCTTGTTAACCTCTGAGTCCCGAAAATTACTACATTCATTATATTATTCTTATATAAGAGCAGAATAATATAAAATGGTAAAAATTAGTGGCTCAGGGGCAGCCGGTTGCTCAGAGACAGCCCGCTTGTTAGCCTTCAGCCCACCAGGCTTCAGCTGGGCAAAATGAGCCATGGGGGGGGGGAATGGACGGGCATTTATTGAGGGGGGGGGCGCTGTTACCCCCTGCAATGTCATTTGTGCACAGTGAGTCCTCGAGTTACGACCGTGCGGTCTTAAGCCACGACGGTCATAAATTGGGCCACCCCCTATGGGACCGGCTCAGTTTCACCGCTTTTTTTTGCAGCCGTCGCTAAACGAGGGCCGCGGTCGTTAAGCGGACCGCCACAGGCCGGTTGGGTCGCTAACTGGAAGCCAATGCCGGTTTTCGACAAAAGGGTGGCAAAACCCGATCCCGTGACTGCGGGAAGCCGCAAACGGCCACACAGGAAGGCAGGGAGTCCTCAGAATTCCTAACCTGGGTCGTAAGTCCCCGCAGGGAAGATTTGCCGCCACTTCGAACGGTCACTAAGCGGCCGGTCGTAAATCGAGGACTGCTTGTCTGCAATGTCGGGACAGGCGTGATGGCCTCGTGGCTTCACCCAGGTCCTTGGAAGCAGAATCTGACTTGGGGGCAGAGGGCAGCTCGGAGGGTGTCCCCCCCCCCGGCTGGGCTGCCTCTCCCCTCCCTCCGGCCTTCAGGCCTCCTGCGCCCCTCCCCGCTCCCCCCAGGACTCCCCCAGGCCCCACCTCCTCCCAGAAGCCCCCCCCCGACTCACCTTCTCTCGCTGGATCAGCTCGAAGGCGGCCAGCAGCTCCCCGGCCGTCCGGCCGCCCTTCATGACGGGACACCAGGACAGCCTCGGCGTGTGGTCAAGGGTGGGCTTGCAAATGCAGCGGCCCAGGAATTCGTCCGCACCCTGGTCGGAGGGAGGGGGGGGAGTCTTAGATCGCTCTTAATCCTCTGTCATTTTAATCGGGGGGGGGTGTGTGCGTGTGCGGTTGTTTTTACTTCTATATGCTTTTTATTACATTGTAAGCCACCCAGACCTGCCCAGAATTGTGAGATGGTGACAGAAAAATTTAATAGAGGGAGGGAGGG